CATTCTACCTCGCTCTTAAAAGATCAAGTTCGACAGGACTATTTAAAAAAATTGCATCTTATCTTTTCGTGCGAAGGTTATTTTTGTAATTAAAAATAATCAAGCTGTAATTTTCTTTCGATACACGCAGAAGGTTGAATTAGTCAGAAGCGCATAGAAGTTTCGTAAAGGCGGTCTTTTGAGTTAACGTCACACAAAAGTTTTAAATTTTTGTTTGGAATCTCTGAGATGAATGATCATAATAATGATGCTAATCACATAATTCTTAGATGGGCAAAATTAAATTTTTCATCACGACAAAAAAACCCTAAGCGGAATTAATATACTTTTCAAAATCTAAGTTTAGTATATAAAGTTCGTAATGTCCTTGACAGAAAAACAATGTGAATTACATTGACTTAACTGTTTCAAGGCAATTGCTACGTTTCTTCAGAGAATCAGTGCTAAAACCAAAAATGTGAAACCCAGTTCACTCACCAGCTTCGCAGACCGTGACGTCACACATACGCGATTAAAATACTTTTTGATTTTCTATTAACTTCATTTAGCTATATTTATTCAATATTTAATAATAGTAAATTCAATAGTATTTAGTCAAATTCTGCTCCTGTAATGATCGATAGCATTCCCTGTTGACACTTGAAACCTGGATAAACTAATATCGAATAATGGCGGTTTCACTATATACATTTTTTTTGTTAAATTCATTCATTACACTCGAGGATAGTTTATATTGGGGAAAAAAGAAGTATGACCATGTATTTAATATGTATGGCCTTATTTATTTATGAAAAAAAAAACAACAAAACAATTCACTTATTAGAAACTTAATTTCTTCCAAACAAATGTAGATTTGTGTGAGTAGAGAAAATAATCACTTCAAAATAATTTTTTTATGCGGCTTGCATTTTTATAAAGTATTCATTTGAAAGTAACTTTTCAAATAACAATTTCTCTGTTCTTCAAAAAAAACATTGTATTTTCCTTTTTTTATTATTTGTAACAAATTAAATCTCAAAAATTTAACTAAAATGCTATGTTATAATGAATAAAACAAGAACATAGTAATTTTAAATTATATGTAAATTACTTTAGCTAATTTCAGAAACAGCTGAAAATTAATGCATACATAATGTTGTAGAATAAAATCAAAGATTTAGATATTTACTATTTTTATGTCATTTAAATACATTCTGAAAATAACTGAAATTATATGAATTCAAAACACTGTAGCATAATTTTAAGTTATAAAACATTCATAATGTTTACCAAAAACGCTTACATAGTGTATTTTAAATTCAAACTAGTTTGAAGCTGAAATATCCACTAATGGATATATGAAATTAGCTTCAATCATACAATATGTTTAAGAATGTAAATTTGTACAATATGTAAATTTGGTTAAGACAGCAAATTTATCGACTGTTTGGATCTTGCAGGTTAGTTTCATTATTTTCTATCTGAAATTTTGTTTTTCGAGCAACATCATAAAACGGTCTTTAACGAACTCATGTCCTAAAGCAATGTATTGGAGCTTCTATGGAAATATGTTTAGCGATGTGGCTTTTTTATTACCGTCAGCGTTGGAGCTCGACTTGCAGTAATGAAATGGCATAGGTGTAATACAAGTTCATCGATTGCTAAGTAGGTAAAGAGTTGAATTTGGCTTCTTTGATTGAGGGTCGTCACTCCCTATGTCTGCTGCAAAACAATGTTCACGTCAATGACTGTAAGGCTGTGATAGAGAGCAAAAATTAGTTTTGAAGTCAAACGACAGAACATTCGTGGTATTGGAAAGCCAGCGAAGAATATGGTGACACTAGTCACAATCTGAAGCCACTCCTCGTTCGCAATATTGGTCCGTCGACTGTTGTCAACGACTGCGGCTTCACCTTAAACAGGCTGAAGCCGGCCAGAATGATTGACATAGCTCGCGATATGGATTCATCAGAGGCCGAGTATGAGTCGAAAGCGGTGACATGGTAAGACGACGGCGGTGTTAATATACACTGAATTAAATCCTCATCCTTGAACTGTTCCGCATCGGTTGTTTGGTCGAACCAGTTAGGATGCTAAAAATTCACGTCGACGGCCGTTGTATCGACTTGAAACCTTCTTCTACTCTGTGTCTCTTGCGATTTCGGTCCGACGGTTGTCTCCGACTCCGCCGAGGCAGAAGGCGACGGTAAAGTCACTTGATACACCATCTCGCGGCTCAGCCATGAACGGTTCCGTATCGCACCCGATATCGGTTCATTGTCAATGTCTAGGACACCACCATAGTGGGAGTCAGAACGAAAGTAACCGCACCGACATTTCATACAACCTAAAACCGTCCAGACAGGAACGGTTGCGCATCTCTTGCGATATCGAACCGTCAGGTGTCTCGAACGCTGCTGAAGAAACCAAAGGCGATGGTGACAGGACTTGACACAAAATGAAACCATGCAAGTGTTAAGCTTTTCGCATCGCTTGAGATATAAGCCCGTTGACGTCTCCGATTGTCGAGCCAGCCGTCCACAAACTGTATCGCACTGCTCGCACCGACATTTTACTCATTCGCCTAGCCATGAACGTTTCTACATCGCGTGCGGTATCAAATCATCGGGTGTCTCGGAGGCCGCCGAGGCGGAGTTGGAGGCTCTGAACGCAAAGACGACGTCACTTGACACAGAATGAAGCCTTCTAGCCGGTAACGAATCCACATCGCTTGAGATTCGAGTCCGTTGACGCCCCGCCGAAGTACAACAGGGCGCTGGGGGGCACTCTTGGCTCTCTCGTCCAGCCACAAACGGTTCCCCATCGGACGGCGTCGGTCGCCTAGGAGGCCGCCGAGTCGGAGTCGGACTGCACGAAGGCGACGGTGGCGCGCAGCGTGAGCGCCGCCACGCCCACCAGCCCCACGACGGCCGGGTCCACGGTGAGGCACTGGCGCAGCGCGTAGAGCGCCACGGGGGCGTGGCTGACGGGCAGCACGGGGCCCTGCCAGGCGGCGGCCGGCGGCGTGCCCGC